AAATTCCTTGAATTAAAATACATTAAAAAATATAATGATTTTATATTTATTCATATAAAAATATTAAAGAGACAAAATCTTTTGATAAAACTATTACTTGTGTATATTATGAAAGACTGTTATATTCAAAAAAGACATATTAGGAATCCTATAATCTAGTAACCAATTATCTTTTATAATAGAATATTCCTAATGCTTCATTATCTTCCAATCCTTATATTAATCACATCACTTATCTGAGAATTTTTACTGTTAATTCATACAAAAAACCTTATACATAATTTTTATTTTCTTATCTTTTTCATATATTAGAAGAAATTCTTTCTGTACTTATACATAAAAGAAGATTTTTGTTATCAATTTTTCTTCATTGCTCTCTAGACAAGATATTAAATTACAATCCGTATTCAGAATATAGAAGCCTGATTGGTATAATAAATTACTCGCATAATATACTTATACTCTAGAGTGTTAAGTATTTTTTTGAAATCTAATAAAGGAGAAAATGAAAATAATGAGATCTTTAGAAAAGCTACTGCTTGGCTAAGAATAAATAATCCTTATCTTTATTTATTTGCAAATGTCATATAATTCACAAACTAACAGTAAACATTAACTGATCTAAATCCAAAAGTAAGATATATTCAATCTGATATAAGAATATCACCTGTTAATGGTCATGATATTTGTTCTTAATTATGATTTTCCTAACGAAATACATGATAAAGACTTTTACTATAGTAGAATTATAGCAGGATTTGTTTAGCAAAGTAAAACATTATAGCTTCCAATTTTAACTCATAATCTAAATTTAGAATTCTTATTATTTCCAGACTTCTTTACAGATGAAAGGAATCACTTTCATGACCAAACATATGTAGATGATGAAATACGTTCTAAAATATATAGAAAATACATTAAGTTATGATTAATGAATATTGATCTGAGGTGAAGGCTTTATTATTATTAGCCTTCGTAATCATATCTTCAATTAAAAAAACTGAGGCATCATCAAAATACTTAATGATTGCTAAAATAATATCAACAGAATTCTAATCAAAATAATTATAATAATACAACATAAATAATAATAATAAAAATAATGATAATATTAACAATTGTTATAATAATCGTAATAATAATCTAAATTGTCTCACTTAAGAGACTTACTCTTCAACTTAGCTTCTATATCTTACACAACATTATTAATAAAAATATTTTAGTGCTTATTCTAATATTTATATGTACTAGTCAAAAACAATTTCATTTAAATGTGATAATGAATAAGTTTAGCTTACCTATATTATTTATAATACTTAGTATAGTAGAAAGTCGATGATTACATCTTTATAATATATTTGTCAATAGTGATAATGGAGATACCTTACCAATAAATAGACTATTTCATTGTGCTAATTATTTTATATATAGATTTCAATTATTAAAGCAAGAACTATATAAAAAAACCACATTTTATAAAATTTGATGAGATTACTAACTTCTTTAATTAAGTAGAATTTCAAAATAAGGATGCTACACACATTTACAGTTATTATTAGATAGCTAATACTATTGAAATATGATATCTAATGATATGATATACTTTATTATGTCAGATCCATTATATGTATCTGAGTTCTATGCTGTTGTAATTACTAATCAAATATATATATGTAATGAAAGATATTAAAGACCTGCAAATCTAGGTCAGACATGTAAAAAGAAATTTTCCTGTCTATTTAATAAAATGAGAAAGGCAATAATCATTATATTTATAAATGTTTAACCCAAGTCGATTACTAGGTTGTACCTTATCATATCCTAACTTTGTTAATATAGAATGCATATATAAATATCTAATACATAACAAATAAAAGCTTTGCTCAATATATGACAAAATATATTATAAAGAGAGAATTTTCACATATATTTAATGTTTATAAAACTGATTCCTTTAGAGAACATATTTCATATGAAGGCTTAGATCAATGAAACTTATATTTTTACTTTTAAGTTATTAGATCTGTAATTCTTTTATTATAGTTAAATTTTTTACAACAGAGCCTTTTATGACTAGATCATGTATTATATTACCAGTCTATATCTTAAACAAATTAAACTAAAATAATGATAATCTATATTATGATGATACAATGATAAAATATATGACTCGATCTCACTTTTTTGAATTTGATAATCTAACATACTTTCAATATTTTAAAAGATATTCAATCTCTCCATTTATATCATATCAAACAAAATATCAAGATGGATTAAATAATTTTATCATAAATAAGATCAAAATAATTATAGTCAGATACCGATTTCTTAAAATTGAAGACAATTAACTTTATTTCTATAAACAACCAGTGCACAAAAAAAATTTGAAAAAATTCCGGAAATTTATTTTTTATATTGGAATATATGACCAACATCAATAAACTTTATTGGAACCAATAAAATTTTGCCAAATTTTTTTGAATTTAATTGATATAGATCTATCAATAATCAATATTAATCAATTTTTTCATTATATTTTTATTACAATATGAGTTTAAACGTCAGAGAATTAGTAATAGTTCGTCTCAAAAAAATAAGCAAAATTCTAAAAATCCTCAAGAAAATTTGAAAAATTCCAATGTAGATAAAATATTTAAAATCAAATGGTTATCAGAATTTTCTTGGTTACGTTATGATGATAAAAAAATGTTTTGTACAATTTGTGTTAAACATAAGATGAAAAATAAGTTTGCTACAGAAGGTGCAATAAATATCTCAAAAAAATCAGCAGTTAAAGAGCATGTAAAATGTAAAGATCATATTGAAGCAGAAAAATTAGAAACAGCACGTATTCAAATGGAATCTTTGCAAAATCAAATTTTTTCTTCTGATGCAAATGCTAGACATATTATTATTATAATGTAGGCTGTATATTTTTTGTCAAAAAATGGTTTGCCTCTTCAGCTTTTACCTTCCATCATTGAAATGATGAAAGAATCAGGAACACTACATATATCTGATAGTTCAATTACATATACAAACAAGATTTCAGGATATGAATTTTTAATGGCAATAGCTAAAACTATTAAAAATAAAATCTGGAGTGAATTATCCGATGCTGTAGCATTTGAAATAATGATTGACGAAAGTACAGATATTACAATAAACAAACATTTAGATGTATATGCTTCATATGTAGCTAAAAATGGAACATTCAAAACATATTTTTTATGTCTTTTACCTTTAACTGATTGCGATGCAGAAAGTATTACACAGGTTTTAATTAATATTTTCAAAAAGAAGGGAATTTTATCTAAACTTGTAGCATTTGCCTCAGATTGTGCTTCAGTTATATTAGGAAAGATGAAGGTGTTGTAGTGAAGCTTTCAAGAGTATGTACTTATCCTTTAATTGTTAATCATTGTGTGGCTCATAGGTTAGCTTTGGCATGTAAAGATGCGAGAAAAGAAATTGAAATTTATAAAGAAGCTGAATTATTAGTTAAAAAAATTTATGATTACTTTAAAAATTCATGTTCACATATCCAACAATTAAAAGAAATTCAAAATTTTTTAGATTGTCCTATTTTAAAAATAAAAAGATTATATGAGATACGTTGGCTTGCATGGTATAATGCTATTAAAAATATTTGTAATTCAATTCCTGCATTATTTAGAGTTTTTAAAGAAGCAAAGAAAGATAAAGGACGAGAATTATATGTTAAATTAACATCTTGAAGAATGTTGGTATTTTTATATTTTTTTTATGATATTTTAGAACATGTATCACGATTAAGTAAATTTTTACAGAGAAGAAATTTACGATTTTCAGATATAAATCTAATGATACAATCTACGATTAATTCTATTCAAAAAGAATACTTAATGAATGATCAATCACAAAAATTTGGATATAATCATCAAAAATTTATCGATGAAACTAATCTATTTTAGGTTATGAACCTTCTTTTACTGAACAAAATTATGATGAATTATTGATGGATATATATATCTATTCAACGAGTATTATTTCTGAATTGAAACAACAATTTCCTAATAGATTATTATTTTCTTCTATGAAAATATTAAATCTGCGAGAATGGCCAAGAGACTCTGAAGATTTACTATGTTTTGGTGATAATGAATTGGAAGATTTATTAAAATATTATGAGTATCCAAATATTCATAATAATATTCAATCAATAGCACTCTTTGATGTAAAATAAATGCAGGTAAGAATGTGCAGGATTTAAAATAGTTGTTATTAATAATCTTTTTTCTAAAGATATAAATATAATTCTTCCCTTACTAATTCAAGATTATAGTGATATTTTTCCAAATATTATCAAATTAATTCAATTGATCTATTGTATTCCCTTTTCAAGTGTAGAGTGTGAGCATGGTTTTAGTAGATAGAATTAAATTAAAACTAAAAATAGGAATTTATTAGCTATAGATACATTAGATATATTAATGTGTGTCTCTTTAGAAGGATCGGAAAGTTTAAAATTTGATTATGATCATGCATATATTATTTGGAAAAGTCAGAAGAGGCATACCAGTATTAACAAATAATAATGTTTGTATGGTTAAAATGATTATGAAATAAAGAAATATTGAATATTGAATTATTGACATTTTATTATTTAAAAAAATATAAATAAAATTTCCGGCATTTATAAAATTTACCAGAAATTTGCTGTATAACATCTGAAAAAATTCCGGATTTAAAAAATTTTGCCAGATTTATCAAAAATTTTTTGGAAAATCTGGCAAAATTTGAATAGATTTTGTACGCTATTAACAACTACTTATAGATAGATATTCCTACTAGAACAGAATCAGAATATAAGATCACATTAAATAATACATATTGTAAAAAATTCTTATCATTATATTCAAATTTTCTTACCAATCTTCAAAACCAAATTATATCTATACCAGTCTCAATTAGTAATCTTAAATACTTAATTTGCAGAAATGTTAAATAGGCATTGCAGCCTTTAGGTAATAATCTTTTGACAAATCTTTCTCAAATCATATAAAATCAGATAGAAACTTAAAATTTCTACCTCACGTGTTTTTAGAAACTGCTATGTTAGAACTTCCAATGATCAATATCATGTATTATCTATTATCAATATGCATATGAGTAAATATCATAATACTAATAATAGTGATAAGTGTCATATTATTTTATCACAGGTTCTGCAGGAATTGGAAAATTCTATATGGTTAATATAATCACAAATTTTCTCAAACGTAAGTACAAGTCTTACCTTCTGATAGCACCTATAGAGATAGCAGCACAAAATATAAAAGGAACTACAATTCATTCTAAACTATATTTTATGTTTACATAAGGTGGTTTTCACACTTGTGTTTTGTAAATACAGAATTAAGAATCTGATTAAAAGAAATCAATATTATCATTAATGATAATATATCTATAGTCTCTGCTAAATTATTAAATTTATTTTACATCTATTTGCAAGTCTTTATAATAATGCTTTAGCTTTTGGTGATATAAATGTTATAGTTATTGATGATTTTGCTCAACTACAGAAGGTAGCCAAAAGTCTCTGAACACTAAGTTTGACATCGTATATCTCAAGATGCACCGATCAGAATTAGTTCAAATTTTCATATATTATTGATACAATCTCAATCTATAATATATTAAAATTTTATTTAATTTGAATCGGTAGAAGCTAAGATATGTATATAAACGTAAATGCATAAATATTTTAGATTTTAGATTTTAGTTAAAGTTTTTGAAATATATTTTCTAAATATCTAATGATTCAA